TATTTCGATTTTCTGTATATCCTGCACATATAGGGAATTGACAATAAAAACCTTTGATCTTGATCTTTGATCTAATGCAAGCACCACCCCAATTGCCTCATGGCAATAAATCTGGCATCCATCTGAATATGGTTTATGGAGCAAATTTTTTTTTAAGGAGTGTGCCCATACTTGCTGTTTAGTGTTATCGTGTATGTATTATTTGCACATGCACACTCAAAAGCTCAACCATATGGGTGACATAATGTGCATTTCAGCCAATGGTATACACTAGTACATCTACAGTCACACAAACAGCAAAGCAATGTGCCAAAAAATGCAGTGAAGAAGCGAATGAGTAAAGGAAAGTAAGTAAGTAAATAAATCATCTTTACTAATGTTGTATGAGGAAAGGATTGAATGTTTCTCAGACCTTAGTGGTAAACACTGTTTTGCCGAAAACCGCTGAATTTTTTTTGATATTTTGTTTGTTGTTTTCTTCCATCCTTGGAAGAAACTCCATAATATATGCTGCCAGTGTTAAATTTCATCCTCTTGTACAAATAAAGTGCCTAGCTCTGGTTGTTTTTGGCTCTTATTCACTGGACTATTCGTTTGTTCTGTCACACCATTACTGGCTTGAATAAGGCTATTTTGAGGAGCATAAACCAAATTCATTATTAATAATTTACACACTATGGCATAAGAGAATGGTATCAGCATAACACTTACAGTGCATTGTAGAGTACTTCTACAGAGCCTAATATAGATGTTGGGTCAAATACTCTGTCATCAGTATATGTAGAGTATCTCCCATCTGTTTTAACCATGAGGACAAATTCCGAATGGATTGTTTATAAGGGGAACCAGTGAACCTTTTGATTAAAAGTGCATTTTGCTCTTGCCCTCTTTTGCATCAGTTGCTTACCAGATATTTCTGTCATTAAACCTATGACTCTGCTGAGCTAACAAAAGCTATGTTCACATTACTCCAATCCGATTCCCTTGTCTCCCACATTCAGATCTGATCTTTTCAAACATGTATGAACAAACCAAAGCCGAGTTTGTTTGTTTGTTTTCCTCCAGATTAGATTTGGGTCACTTCTGTATGTAGTCTTAGATCCAGCAACAATTATCAGTAATGGTGGTGGTATGTTGTTTATTGATGATGGGATAATTGAAGTAATATGTGTGCGACACTATCACCGGTGTCTACCTCTCTGCCTTAAACTGTTCTTGGCTTCTCTCTAACTTATAGGTCAAAGCATTCCTGATGTTACAAATGTGTTGATTTCAGTTGTTACTCGTGACATTCACACACATAGCAAGAACCATGCTAACCAATTTTGTGTGAAATGAAAAAAAAAAATGCTTGAAAAGCCAGTAAAGCTACATCTGCACGTATCTCTCCTGCCATTGAGTGAAAAATTTACATCACAGTTGATGCACAGCAATGTCACAGGCTGTCTTGCAATTATACCGCCCTTAGTTTGGTCTGTATGAACAGCACAAGGGCAGGATATTGGCAATCCTTTGGAAGGGCAGTAGTGCAGGATCTCAGTGTAAAAACGACTTCTGACTTGAGTAATGGGGACTCAAATCAAACTCGACTCAGATTATTCTTTAGTGACTCGGACTTGACTCGAATAGTGGGTACTCGACTACAACGCTGCTCGTCCCTCTCCTCCTTAGAATAGGATTCATGGTTACCATGCCACCTTCCTCCTACTTGTGTACTTAAGCAGAGGCGTATGGGAGAGTGTTTGTGATTTTACCTCCCTCACAATTTAACACTTTATTATTTTTCTTTAGATATTCTTTTCACGTGCAGCTGCAAAAATCGGCTTGTGTGTGCGTTAATGTGGAAGTGTCAGGGACATTTTATGTTTGTTTATATTTGTGTGTGTAGGTCTGGGGGTATGAATCCAAATGAAATATTTTATGGACCAGTGGACCTATTAATTGTTCCCCAGGTGTTATCTTTGCTGACGCCTAATCTTTTAGAGACAACCTGCTGGGTTTGGTTCTTCTCTCTGTCTCCTCTCTTCCTGCTGCATTTTTCTGCATTCTTTTCAACTCTCCCTCTTTCCTCAAGGTGACCTTATTCTTGTTTCTCATGGCTCTCTCAAGTGCACACCTTAAAGCTGTTTCATGAATGTCCCTATAGTAACTAAAAGAGGATCACAGTTTCATGTCTTTGAGTCTGTGCACATAACACTGCTTTTAAGATGATGCTGCACCATTACACATACTGTGCACCAAGGGGTTATTGTGTATGCAGTTATAAAGCTACAGAATCTGTAAAGGGAATGTGGTCTTCTCACTTGATAAATGTGGGTAATCTGATGTAAAGCTTATGCATTAAGAAGTCAGTCCCCATGAAAGACATTGTTCAATTGCACCCGCAGTTGGAAATCCTTATGTCTTTAGCACATGCTCTCTTGTAGAAAGCTAATTAGAAACCTGGGTACATGTATACATGGCAGAGAAATTGGTGGGAGAAATCTACCTGGGGAAATCAATTTTGCCTAATCCCCTACCATGATTACGGAAAACAGGTTTCCCTTTTACATGACACTTAAGAAATCAGCTTACTCAAGAAAACTAATCGTAACCTGGTCACATAAGTGCATGTAAACATAATTACTACCTTCATGGTAAAGGCTTCATCAAATAGGCAGCACCAGTTTGGTTACAAATTTAGTACTGTATGTTTAAGTAGTTAGATTTAGGGTTAAAAGGTTTTACATCCTTAACTAGATGCTAAGAAACAGGAACAGGAGAAACCCCTTATTTTAACTGGCCTAATGCAGACAACTTCTCCAGCCTTATAACAGTTTTCTACAGAAACAATGCATTAACAGGCATGCAACATGTTTTTTTTTATCCTTATGTCTCACAGAAGAGTGGAAACTTCAAGGTCGGCTACATTCCCAAAGTAGTGAAATTAATTCCAACAGTGAGCATTGCACTGACAGTAACATCATGGATTGTTAGAATCCTCTGGCCAACCCACATCATATCACATAGTGCAGACACACTGGCCTCAAGCAGTCAAAACAAGTAGGTACTGTGCTCTTGGGGAATCCGGTCTTGATGAGATGATCATTCACCCCCCCAAGGGTGCTTCACTAGCCAGCTACAGTGCCTTGCGAAAGTATTCGGCCCCCTTGAACTTTGCGACCTTTTGCCACATTTCAGGCTTCAAACATAAAGATATAAAACTGTAATTTTTTGTGAAGAATCAACAACAAGTGGGACACAATCATGAAGTGGAACGAAATTTATTGGATATGTCAAACTTTTTTAACAAATAAAAAACTGAAAAATT